TGATTTAATTTACTTGGTGAAAATTAATTGAATAATCGAATTTGCATGTTGAGAAAGTATAAGTTGCGTTGGAGAAGCTATGGGGTCTAATTCTACTAAAGCGTTTCTAGAAAAAAAAAACTAGAAACTAATAATAGAAGAAAACAAAAAAAAAGGAGAATAGGTAAATTGATTTCCTTGAGCAGCGTACATGATCGTACTGGTCCTGCGCCGCGTCACACGCTGCGCAGCTACCCTTATTATTATTATATTGATATAAACTAAGTTCGAAAATAGGCAGTGTTCAAATGGGGTTTTAAGCACGAACTAACCGGTTGGAGCAGGATAACATCACTAGTTACCATTGCATGACGGGATTTACGTGTTATTAATTACAATTTTTATCACATATTTATTTCTTTTTTTTTCTTGTTAATTATTTCCCGAGACTTATTAGTTATCACCCAAGGCTTTTTATTGTTATTACCCCGAAAATTTTAAAAGTCAAAGAAATGTAATAAAAATAATTAGTGGCACGAGTCCCCGTCATGTCGTCATATGAAACTATAAATAACTCATTCATTCCATCGTTTGGGAAAATAATTGAAGCATCTCCCCAGCGGCGCATGTATGGGGCGCAAAGCGCCCCACATATGCCACTGGGGAGATATTTCATTATTCCCGCCGTCCCGGGGAACAAATAGTACATAAATATATTGATAATTTTTGGAAATAAATAAAGAAAAAAAAAAATTCTGAAATATTGAGTTTCTGTGAGGAATAAAGAACCTTTTCAAAATTTTCTCAATTGAATGAAATTATGAAATAATATTATTATTAGATCAAGGTCATGTCATTATTGTTATCATCGTCGTCTTTTCTTGTGAAAACATCGGTGATTCTTAGATTTTTATTAACGGATTCGATTGATTTGCGTAGTTTTTTTCTTTTTTTATATAGTCTTCTGGAGTCGGTTTTCTGAAAATTCGAAACCCGCAAACGACCTAAGATAAAATCCTAAAATTGTTGTGGATGCTATCGTAATCTCTTGGGAGTGTTATATTGAAATGGGATATTAGGATAGGGTTAATCTCTCGGTTATTATTCGTATCGGTAATATCTAAGCGTTCGATTCCTTCGGGAATTTTACAATCTACGCGAGGGTCGTTTTCCATGAATGAGATTGTTGCGCGAAAGGCTCTAGGGTTTTGGTTAGGTCATCAATTTCGATATGAGGGTCAATTTCATTAGGAGTGATGAGAATGGTGAATTTGAGATCTTGAAAGGCTTTTTGAAATTGACCCCCGTGTCGAAAGACATATCGTTTATTAGGATTTAAAAACGATACGAAATTAGTACCTTTATGATCCATTTATATCATAGGATTTGCCGATCAAATTCGTATAATAAATGTTACACGAATTTAATCGGCCAATCCTATATATATTTTTTAAAAAAGGTCTTAATATACGTTAAATGGGGCTAGGAGCTGAGAAAAGGGCCAAATTGACAATTTTTTAAAAGGAATTTTTTTACATAAAATCATTTTTCACTTAAGACACAAAAGTAGTTGTATAGCTTTTTAAAGTTTATAATTATGATTTATTATGAGGTTTATAACATAAAAATTGATTTTCCGAAGACCTTTTTTTTTTGTCAATTTTTATTATCCGGATCGTAGCGGATGACTTTCAATAGGCAAGCAAGTACTGAACTCAGAAATTAAATCGATATTTATAAGAAACTTATTAATACGATTAAGCTAACACATATGAGGAGTAATGTTATTATTTAAGTGTTCAATTAATGAATGGTTGTTACGCTTAACTAAATCAATAATAAGTAATTCGCCTAAATTAGTATTTTTATGACTATAGACTAAAGGCGAATAAGAAATAAAATAAGTACTTACAGAGTGAATAATACTGCGTACAATTTGCACAAAATTTTATTATGCTAATGCGAGGCAAAAAAATTTACTGCAAAAGAATAAATATAAATACAATTTTAACCAAAATGCCTCTAAGTACCGTTTTCAATTAAATGTTATATATACGTCGCAAATTAACATTTTAGATGTTTATGCCTGGTAAAATGATAAATTCAAAAATATAATTTTTGGTAGCAAATTACGAAATATCAGTGCAAAAAAAACCCATCAGCTTTACACTTTTATTTATACTAAGAAATTGCTTATCTATAAGTAATGTGTTAATATCACACGTCCGAATAGAATGGAAAAAAGAACTATCGAGGTGACATTCAAGATAAAAAAAATTGGTTAATAACTAGAAGAGTTCATTTGCACATTTTATTGATCCTCTAAAAATCTGCATTATAGCTTTGTATTTGCACGAAGCAGTAGGGCAGATGAAGAAACAGTAATTTTGATAATTTTAAGATTCAGAATATCCAGAGGACGTAAAAAAGGAACTTGTTGAAAGATGGTCAACTGCATTTTTATATTTTATTGGTCAAATTAATTTTGTCTAGAGTTTCGTCGATCGTCAGTAGTTTCGTCAAACGTCAATAGTTTCATCACTTGCCACAGTTTCGTCTGACGAGCGATTTGACGAAACATTTCATCATCGAAAAATAGTTTCGTCAGGCATCTTTAATCACAACACGAGATTCTTATACTGTTACTATAACATAAAGCAATATCACAATAAAAAGCCCTTGTACTGCTATCATTGTTGTAAAGCCCAGGAATAGTGAATGACCTGGTGATTTGAACAAAATTTAAATGCCCAAGTCATCAAATAATAATCTGTCATAATTTGGGTTATTAAGGTCATTTGAGCCATTTGCGCATCAAATAATTTTATTGGTTTGATAACTAAAAAATTGGTTTCTAATCGATAATATGCAGTATAAGTTTTACTAAGCTAGTCATTATTTACAGTATATCTTATTTTAAAGGTTTTATGTAATTTGAATGACTTTTTATTAATTCACTTCTGTGTTTCACATTTAAATAAAAAATTCTTAACCTTTCATAAATGTGAAAGTGAATTAATAAAAAGTTATTCAAATTACATAAAACTTTTGGAGTATATGCAATTTTGAAGCTTTACTTGAGACACAAATATTAAGAGTTCGATTATAATTGTTTTTTATAATTTAAAGTTTTGCATTTATCCCGTAACCAATTTTGATAGGTTAAAAGTGTTAAAACATCAAGTAACGTATGTTAAATGACCTTCTCTATTATTTAGGCAATCGAGATGACTAGTGACTAGCCATCATTTCAATTGATTTGCAGTTGGGATTGAATATAACTACTCAAAATCATAATTCTCTTTGAATACCTCAAGCGCCTTTCTGCTAAATTTATAAAGGTTTACTAGTTTGTTCATTTAGTTGGTGATATTTGCATTCTAATTTAAGAGTTGTATAAATAATGTTTATAATTTATACATAATGGAAAATTATTAATTAGGTAGATCAGACTTTTACCAATTACAGTCTAGAAATCGTCTGATCATTATGCATAAATTATTATAACCCATTACAATTGTGGCATTATATCCGCGCCTTTAAGGTAGACATAACCTAATTGCAAGTTCGCTTTTAAATCTTACATGCAGCATATTTCCCAATTTCTTGTTTCGCTTAGCTATATTGAGCAGCTGCTTATAATTTAAAACATAAATTTACTAAATACAATACTCTGTTTCTCATTTTGCATGCACACTATCTTGTTCAGTATGAAAAGCTTATTCATTCATTCAAGATTCGTTAATTTGAACATAGATACATAAATGTTTATCTAAATTATGGTTTATATTACATATATAATATATCGATACAATCAAATACAACACTCATCTCTAACTCCCTTTAAGCAACTCAAGCGCCTAGTTAGATATTAAAATTTTATTATTGCACAAGATTTATATTTACTGTACACTTACATTTATATTACATATAACTTACATATTATTGAATTATCTGAATACTTGGATTATGAGATTTTATACTAAAACAAAACTGAGTATACCGAATACTCAATTCTTTCAGAGTATTGTTTTTACAAAGCGCAGCTTCTAGTGGTTTTCTGCATCTGATCCAAGAAGATTCGAACTAAGATTTAAATCTTTTAGCGTAATGTTCTTGCAAAGTGCATCCGCTAATGCTTTTCCACATTCTGACCCAAGTTTATTTGAAGGAAGATCCAAATTTTCCAGCGCAGTGTTCTTTAAAAGTGCATTTGCTAATGCTTTTCCTCCTTCTGATCCAAGATTATTATTATAAAGATGTAAAGAAGTTAAGGTGGTGTTCTTGCAAAGTGCATTTGCTAATGCTTTTCCCCCTTCTGATCAAAGATTGTTTTTACCAAGTTTCAAAGAAGTCAGCGTGGTATTCTTGCAAAGTGCATCTGCTAATGCTTTTCCCCCTTCTGATCCAAGATTGTTTCTATCAAGATTCAAAGAAGTCAGCGTGGTATTCTTGCAAAGTGCATCTGCTAAAGCTTTTCCTTCATCTGATCCAAGATTGTTTTCACCAAGATTCAAAGAAGTCAGTGTGGTATTCTTGCAAAGTGCATCTGCTAAAGCTTTTCCACCTTCAGATCCAAAATTATTATTGTAAAGATCCAACGAAGTTAAATAAGTATTCTTGCAAAGTGCATCTGCCAGTCAACGTGGTATTCTTGCAAAGTGCATCTGCTAATGCTTTTCCTCCTAATCCAAGATTATCCGAATTAAGACTTAAAATTTTCAGCGTTGTGTTCTTGCAAAATGCATTTGCTAATGCTTTTCCTCCTTCTGATCCAAGATTATTCGAACAAAGATATAAAGAAGTTAAGGTGGTGTTCT